TCTTTCCAATACGTTCTTTTTTATATTAATAAAATCTAATAGTCTAATCACCAATTTTTAAATTATAATGATTAATGATTATATTTTCAATGTGTGATATTACGACGTTCTTATTAATTCTATCAAGTTAACATTTTAACACTACACCGATCATGAAATCATAAATTACACAACATGATTTCACAGCAAGGGAAAATACTTGCGCATTTTAAAAATCGTTATTGTCTGCACGGCTCACTGAATGCAATGTATCAGTTGTACTTGTACTTGTATGGTATAGATGACAAATCATCTAAATTCCAAGTGTCACTTATATAAAGTCTTCGGCACCTTACACTATAGCCAGAGACAAAGACGTAAAGTGAACTTTTTTTAATGATTTTCAGTCTGACTAACGTAGTTATAGCTATWACTCGTATATATTATACARAAAAAATATTAAGAATTTCGACAAACGTTTTAGTTCACAAAATTATTCATCTGTCTAGGATTAAAATGAGAACTTGCTGTATTCAGATTCTAGATTGTACTGTTGGTGAATATTTCATTATATTTATATGCATGCGTTTTTAGTTTAAAAACTTGAACAATCTGTTAAATGTTTGTACTTGTACACTTAAAGCACTAGTTTTTTTTTTCAAAACACACTAAAATCGTTAGTGAAGTTTAATAGAAAAACTGAAGAGTTTTGTTATTTATCTTTATTTTTGGTATACGTTATCGTAAAATACGCCGGTATTGTAAGTTAAGATTCATATACAATAGATGATTTAATTAAAATCTGGTATCCTTATCTTATTTCTTGATTAAACTTCAAATTATTATTTTAGTTTGTTCATTATAATGTATATTTCACACACACATTTAGTATAAATAATATCTACAGATACAATCCAGAAACTTTACGAATGCATATATCTTAGAAACAACAAAAACAGCTTTTTATGTACTGCAGATACTCAAGAGTCAAGAAAAATTATGATAATTTCCTTTTAGCCAAGTTAGATTGAAACCATGCAACGGACCTTTCTGTAGACGTTCCATAAATATATACTATTTTTTTTTACAGTCAAACAGGTTGGCGTGTGGGTTCCCATGTTTTATTTTAAAACTTTCATCAAAGTAATTTAATTTACTTTTAATAAGTAGGGCTCGGAAGTTGTAGGTTAGGTAGGTAAGGTTAGGTTAAATTATTACTTGTTTTAWGTTCTACACCAATTTACAATTTATTAAACACTTATTCTTTATTATTAATCAGGATTGATACATATTATACTTTTTTWAATTAATTTACACTTAACATGTGCTTCAGTCTTATGTTAAGTAACATTGAATTTATATAATTCTTCAATATAACAACTATTGATAACACAACCATGTTATCATACAACATTACTAATAACTAATAAGGTTAGGTTAGGTATAGGACTAGGTAACCTAACTTATAATTATTCATCATCTTATTATTGCCATTCTAAAAAAATTATAAGATTGATATTTAATACCAACATTTATATTTTTATTTATACGTTTGATAAGCATAGAACTTATGCTTTCAGTAGATTGGCACTGAGATAGATAATATATACTGGAGCGCGTACTCAGCCGTAAAAATGAGTCATCGTGTTTGACGTTACCCACACCACTGAAAGGCAAAACATTTCATATTAACATAAGATGGTCGTGTAGTTATGAGTTTATGGCTGTTTCAATTCATAATTCTTAATTTATTTTTATTATTTTCTTAATTCTTCTACAAATCGAACGAAGCTATACGTAAGTATAGCTACAGGTGTACTAACGGTAGGTTAGCTATTCATTACCTTAWTGTATTATCATGATTATATATAATATGATATAATAATATGTAAAAAGACAAAATTTAACAAATAAATTAAAATCACATAGAAAGCCTAGTATGATRCATTATAATTTAAAAAGAAAATATTAACACATATATTTTATAACAATATGCATATTTATTATTCATACAAAAGTACAAAATAATTATTTGAGTATTTCTTTTCATACCATTATTTAAGAAAATATCTGTCGGGGTTAGCTACCTAGTTTATAAAATATATAAATATATACAAATAGGCCAAATAGGTAATTTAAAAACTATTGAAAAATTTTAATAGTTTCTTTGGGAGAGAAGGTTTATTGTTCAATACTTCTTTCAAATTATATTATAGTTAGGAAGAAAAATAAACGACTTTTCAACTGYATACTTTTTCTAGCATATTCGACACTATTTTGTGCTAAATTTTTATGTAATTGACTTTCCTGGAATAATCATAACTACACATCTGTGGTACGTAAAAATAAAATATTTTGCATTCGGTGGTGGTAGAAACGGAATTCAAGACGGCTCAATTTTTTCATCATTACATGAATGGCGAGTCCACGCTCCAGTATATAATATTATCTATCTCAGTGTCTATTGGTATAAGATCTATGATGATAAATTGATAAGTCACTGATAACTAGAGCGTGGATTTCTATACATTTGCATATTTTTTTCTTTTAATGTTTTTGGATTTTTGTCAGTTATCTCCACGAACCATCATAATTTGAAGCTAATGGTAAATTTTTTTTGCATATTTATAGGTTATTGCATATTTTTGCATACTTTGGCAAAATTCAAAATGTATTGCATATTGAAGTGAACATTTAATATAATAATTTGTGTAGTTGAAAAATTAAAACTAAAATTCATAGTCGTTTAATAATAATTTATATATATATTTCAGCATATTATCCCCTATTCAATACAACATTTATGCTTCAGACCAACCAACTATTCCTTTTACGTCAGTAGCCGACTATGCAGATGACAAAGCGATAATTTCCATCAACAACACTCCCCTCACTGCCTCTTCAAATCTACAAAATCATATTACCTATATGGAAAACTGGTTTACCATATGGCGTTTCAAAGTTAATCAAAGTAAATCTATCCACACTACCTTCACCCTCAGACAGTCCAAATGTATCTCTATATGGTACACCCATTCCTTTGTCTCCTACTGTTAAATATTTTGGTCTAACACTTGATCAAAGACAAACTTGGGCCTACCATATAAGAACCAAAAGACTAGTTTTAAATAGTCACCTACGCATGCTAAAATGGTATTATGCAATGATAAATACACCTCCACGTGCCCCAAACTTTTTATATATAAAAGTCTACTGAAACCAATGTGGACGTACGGTTTGCAGTTATGGGGTAGTGCAAAAAAAACAAACGTTAACAAAATTCAAGCATTCCAAAACATTGCTCTAAGGAAATTAAAAAATGCTCCTCCCTACATCCTTTTCCCTCCATTCAGACTTAAAACTAAAAACAATAGCTGAGGAATCCAAATGTTTCTATAAAAGATTCTTCAACCACCTAAACATTCATTCGAATCCACTTATCAAAAAATTGGTCTCGGCTACCATACAAGGTAATACCACAAGTGGTCCAAAGCGTAAGTGATATCGTGATTTGTTATAAAAAAAAAGTAATTTAAAATTTAAAAGTTTAAAAKTTTAAAAAAAAAATAGATAAATAAATAATATTAAAAATAATTAAGTAACCATAGAAAGTGTCAAAGTGTAAATATATATATTTATTTATTGCGATTTTGACTGCATATATTATATATGACATATTTCGATACTTTTAAGTGCATATAAATTCGTGCTCTACTGATAACTAATGTAGCCAACTTAATAACGTGAAAAATTCATGTTATTTCAAATTTTAAATCGATTAAGTGATTGTTTCAGTTTAATGACGTTTGCTGTTGAAAATTTGGATTCTAATATAGTATTGTTTTTTATTTATACAGTTTATTTGAGTTTGTGTTAATCTAATTAATGAAATTAAAATATGTGATTTTAAATATTATTATTATTATATTAAAAATGTAGGATTTATTGACTCCAGAAGATATCCACAGTTTACGCTATAATAATACATAATACGCAAGTACTGTTACGTAAGTCATGAAATTTCATAATAACTATTAAATGTTCTATAGGTATAAAATAATACATAATTCAGCAAAATATAACATTATGTAGTAACTGTGAATATTCAATATTATATTACAATAATTTATTAATATTATATAAATAGCAACTATAGATCATAGTTTAGAAAAGGAAAGTTAATAAAAAATCTACCGTTTCGCCCAAAATCTACAGAGTASATTTTCAAATTTTAGTTAGGATTTTGTTAATTTATTTCAAATATTACAYGTGAGATTCMTTTTATACATCAATATTATATATTTAAATAATGTGAACAACTCAATAAAGAAATCTAAAAATTTTTGTAWGTAGGTATATTTTTATTTTGGTAAAAATAATTAACAAAATGGTATAATACACGAATCGCTTATAATRAAACTTAGCAGTTAGCATAAACCAGCTATATAATAATAATATTATAGTTAATAATCTAACTACAAAGTCATGAAATGTACCTAAATAATTATTTTTGTACCTTATATTTTATTARTTATACCTTATAATAATATGAGTTGTTTGTAATTCGTAGGTAATCCTGATTTATTATAATCATAAGTAACGTGAGTCATGCTATCTACATAAAAATAATACACTAGGTACCGTATATGAAATATGTATTTGACTTCGATACCTTATTCTATTCGATTTTACCTTAATGTATGTATAGCAACAAGTTGTATAGGCAATTATACCCGCTATACTTACAGAGTTAACAATATGGAAATATATTGATAGTAATAACTAAAACAATTTAACAATAAAAATACAACAAACCGCAACTATAATAATATTATTGCTCTGGAAAATAGTCATTCACCTCATAGCCAATCCTAACGCTCCCTAATCGTACTGTCTGCTACCACCGAACCAGCTGGGAAAGTACGACGATGCGGACATGTACCTGTGCATGTTTGCYGGTGGTGGTGGCTGGGATGAATGTCTTTTCTGGTATTTGCCAGAGATTTTCACGTTTTCAGGAATTTCAAACGGATATGGTGGTTCCTCATCGAAGTGGTATTCCCGCAATGGTTGTTTTTGTACCGTTACCACCGTTTCATCTGCAGAATCAGCCGCGTGGTCATCCCGATAATCTCTGTCGTCTCTGTCGTCCTGGGCGTCCCTTTCGTCTCTGTCATCACGTTCCCGCGAACGGTTATCAGTGTCKTCGTCGTACTGYATCGGTGCACTCACGTCGTARCGTGGCTCTTCGGAAGGYCCGTTCACCTGTACCGGTCGAGGTGGCTGCAGTTCAGATTCCGGAACCTGTTGCTGTCGTTCCTCGGACGAACCGCTGTGGTGCTGGCGTTCCGTCGACGCTGCAGGCGCGACGTCCGGCTGTCGGTGCACCACCGGGTCGTGTTCGGACGACAATTGCTGGATGCCGGTCAGATAAGCAGACTTGTCCACTGACGTCGTCGACGAGTACTTACGGGAGAAGTGATCGATCGGTTGATCGGCACCCTGTTCTTCAGCTAAATACCCGAATGGACTGGCGCTGCCCAAATGGTTCGCCTGATTACGTTCGGGGCTACCAACGCCACCCAGCTGGTTTGCGTGATAACGTTCGGGGCTACCAATGCCACTCAGCTGGTTTGCGTGATAACGTTCAGGATTACTAGCTCCGCCGTCGCCGCCGCCAAGTGGATTGGCGTGATGATGTCCAGGGGCACCGAACTTGGGCAACTGATCGAAATGGCTGTTGGGTCTGCTACCAAGGTGATGTTCAGCCGACTGTTCCGCGGACGGCGGTAGTCGCTGTTTCTTGTAGCCACCCACCGATTTCGGTCGGCCGTCGAACTGTTGCGGCTTTTTATACTGACCCGGTTGACCACCGTGTTTTTCCGTTCGTGGTTTCTTGTAGAATTTGTGCAACGGCTGTTTGGGCCGGGCTCCGACTCCGCCACCKGGTGCCGACTGTTTTCCCGACGCGTCTTCCAAATGATTGTCGAAGCCACCGCCGAATCCTCCACCGCCACCACTTCCCCCGAATCCGCCTCCGTCACTACCTCCGAATCCGCCACCGTCACCGTTCCCTCCGTCAKTGTGTCCTTCGTACATGTATTTGACGTGTGCGTTGAAACCATTATGCTTGTCAGCCGTGTACTCGACCACCCTCATATGTCCGTCCGGTTGTAGAAACGAATACGAACCGTGCACCGTGTCTCCATCTCGGTGTTCCCAGTGGCTCTTGACATCCTTCGTTTTTGGATCGTGTACCCAATATCCATACTTGTAAAGTGGCTTCACCTGTGAACCAACCAAAAATCAAAGTTAAAAAATAACCACAAAGTTGTAGGTCATAAGCGACACCTGCAGGATAAAATTAGGTTAAATCAATTATAATATCGTGGAACTTACAGCTTTGAACTTGTGCTTAGCTACCCAAAATTAAGTACAGTAGTTTTTAATTATTGTCGCACAAAAGCGAAAAAAACTAGTTCAGAAATTAAATTTAAAAAAATTGTCCATACATATTCCATTGTTGCCCTTAAACAGTTGATATTTTGTGTTTTGGTTGAACTCTTATGTTACTCTCTTAATCTAAGCTAACGTTTGTAATCGTATAATATTATTGTTCAATATCGAAACAATCGATCGTTAAAAGTTCATCCAAATTGTTCATCATAGGGACAATTTTCACGAAAATCAATTAAGCTGTTACTATTATTAGTACTAATAGTACTACAAATTACTTATTAGTCTATAACATTTGATTTTTGTATACTTACGTAATGATCTTCATGATGTTCTTCGTTACGGCCGTCCCCTATCTGCTCACCGTAGTATTGGCACCAGGCAGCTCTCTGAGCCCATGTCACAAAAACTAATATTCTGAAAGCCTAGACAACAGGTTTCYCATTTTATTATATTGTAACTAGGAAATATTGTCTACAGTTTACAAAAAATTCTTTGTTTAGTGTAAAATTAAAAATTTTGTGGTGTGAATAATTGCGCATCACAATATTATTTTCATTTTAACTTTTAGTTATCATAGCCGTTATTGATTTATGGCACGAATACCTATTGATATATTTTATAAATATGACTCGATTTCAGTTTTTTGGAAAAAAGTTAGTTGTACAATTTATTTATATGCTAACGATATCTATTTTTTTCATTTCTTAAAAATTAAACGATAGTTCGTGAATAACGTATTAATAACATGGTCATTGTAAACTGAAACGTGCTGGCACGTTTGACAAAACATAATGATTTTTTTTTTGTGAAAAAATATTAAAACATTATTTTTAACTCCCGTGATTCAAAATATCATCAGGTTTAATGTGCTATTATATCAATATTATAATATACAGTACACGCGTCCGCTTCTATATCAGTTTCACGTTATCGGTCTGAACACTCTGAACACAATGAACCAATATATTCGTTTATGTCTTTTGTTACGAATAATTTTGACGCTTTTCTTTCGGTGTCTTTCTCGTTGAYGCAACAGTATTAATGTAATAAACATGCAGTGTTATTCACGATAAAATATTAGACATGCGTCTCAGATTTTTTCGAACGTATTTCTTTGATACATCRATAGGTAGGTAGTTAGGGAAAAAATTAATATTGTAATATTTTCAAGAATTTATGCCCAAACGATGAACACTGTAAGTAACTCTTAGATGACTTTGATCTATCATAAGTCTAGCAGGTACCTATAATATTATAAAAATATTTTAGCTAACGTTTTGGCTGGTTTCCTATAACCTCAAATTATAATAATCTTTTAGAACACATAATGGTCCAACGTGTCAACAAATATTTTCTGTCGATCTTGTGTGTATAAACAATAAACATATACATATTAATTTCGCGTGTATGAAAGTTTAATTATTAAACRAATACTTAAATAGCATCGTGGATTTACCTAAGTACAGAAAGTGAAATAAGTAAAGTAAAGTAGGTATTCTGTATTAAATAATTCTCATTTTTAAACAAATAGATTCATGATATGTAATGTTATACTTTTTTAAATTTTATTATTGATCTTAAACCCGGTGACTAAGGCCATTAGCCGTTGTAGGGGTTATGAGCTGTGGTAAGKGTAAAGTGTTGGTACGGTATGTTATTTTTACAGTTGTTACGGTAGGTCACCCATCCGGAAGCTAGTAGCTGTGGCCGTTACYTACTCCCAGTCACCAAGCCACGCTATAACTTGTATGTACAGCAATCAAYGTAAATTTAAAATTTAAACCCATATAATGCATCTTATTTTATTCTTAGCAACGTGAATCTGTCTGTTTAAAACATATAATCTACATTTCACGTAATTAGTAAACATTTGAACTTTAAATGCTTATAAAAAAAATCGTGTCAATGTATTTTTAATATTTTTCAACTGCTATTGTAACAATATGGTTGAAGCCTTGTATTAAATTTTAAAATCTAAGTTTTTAAACGAAAATTGTTATAAATTTCTATCTAAGATAATTTGAACATTGCCGTAAGTTTTACGTATTTTGTCAAAATTAAAAATTAAAATGCTTATAAAAAAAATTGAGACTACCTATGTATTTCTTTTATTTTTCATCTGCTATTGTAACAATATGTTAGGAGCCTTGTATTAAATTTTCAAGCTTTTCTACCAACAAATAAATTTTTATCGATGATATTAGTTTAAAAAAAACTAATAATGATCGAAAATTGCATATTATGCCTATGAATAGTTCAACTTAGGTCGAAAATGTTTGAAAATTGCATGGTAGATAGAATATGCTTATATAAACATTCAGTAAAAATTACATGTATTTATAGTCATTTGTTTTAAAGTTAGATCAAAAACAAAAATCAATTTCGTCAAAAATTGATTGTGCGTAAAAATTCCCGATTTTTCCTTAATTTTAGATTCTGAGCGGAGTGAGGAATGTATTAATTGGTTTTACAATAATGTTTATTTCTTTTTTATTCTGTAAGCACTTTTTMTCCTTCTAAACTTGCTAAAGAGTATCAAGTTTAGCATCTTTTCTAAAAGTTAATGTTCTGGAGCTGGTACTTTAAAGTTGTCATTTTTCAATTTTTGAAACGGTACTCGACATAAAAGCGGTTAAATAAGAAAAAACGTACGATTTTATGATTTTATAATATTAAATAATTACGGAGGACGTTTTCTACAAGAAATATTGCTTCAAATGAAAAATGACAAGAGATCTTTTTTGTAGTATTTTRGGGTTTGTTCCTTACGGTTTAAATTTCGGAAAATTTTAGCCATTTTTGAGCTATTTTTTTTTGTGTATCTGTCATCACGTTTTGGGGCAGTAAAAGTGCTTCGATTTTTGACTCCAGTACCTCATTCGATCAGAAAGTGAATCTAGTTGGTACTTGGGGGGGGGGATCAAAAGTAATGAATTATTTTTCTTAATAATTGGGATGAACAAACTAAAAATTAGGTCAGCATTTCGGTGGTGGATGTTTGTCCATTGTCCTTTCGGTCTTCGAACAGGATAGTGTAATTTTACTGTATTCGATTTGAATGCAATGATTGCATTCGATAAAAAACGAATCTGAGCGGACGAGGGAATATTTTTTATTTAATTTTATTCGTTTTTATGGTGATAAACAAAGCGTTACAAGAACAGCTTAAGAATGATTTATATAAATAGGTTATTTATACGATTATAATTGTAGTTTATAATTAAGAAATACCATAAAAATGAAAAAAGAATATAAAAGAAAAGAAAAAGCTCAAAAGTCRCTCAAATGTTTTGAAAATTTTACCATGTCTAGGTAAGGTGAATAATAAGTAAACAACCCAAATTTCAAGTTTTTAGGAATGTTTTTAATCGAATTACAACAAAAAAAAACTCCCAAAATTAA